CTGACCTGTACCTTCTTCACAACCAACATAGACCTACTCTCCCACATTCCCACCAGTTATTCCATCTATCTAGAGACAGGTGGGAAGCTTCCCAGTGCTGTCAAGCTAGTGACCAAAGGAAGCACACCTGCCCCACCTATGTGGATATATTGAAGCAAAGCAAAAGAAAAATCAGGATGAAACAAACCAACACATAATCATCAAAGTTAACAACTTCAAAATGTCTCAGAGACAACAGACCACTTCAAAGAAAGAAACAGGGTAAGATAGTGCAAGCAAGTGACCAAAATGAAGAACTAGGCAACCTCCCCAAGGAAAACTAAGTAATAGGCCTACCTGATAAAGAATTATAAAGTTATATACTTCTATGAGCTCAAGGAAACCATAAAAAATATCAAGGAAACAACAGACAATATCCTAGAAGAATTCAGGAAAACAATACAAGAGAAAAATGACAAAACTAATAGACAATTAGAAATCACACAAAAACAGCAATTAGAAATCCAGAAGTTTAACACTAACATGACAGAAGTAGATAAATCATTGGTGGGACAAAAGAGAAGCAACTGAAGAAAGGATTAGCCAGCTAAAAGATAAATCCCTGATATCAGTTGTGTGAGGAAAAATATCATTAAAAAAAAAAAAAAAAAAAAAAAAAAAAAAAGAAAGAAAGAAAAAAAAAAAAAAAAAGGAAAAAAAAAAAAAAAAAAAAAAAAAAAAAAGAATGAAGAAATATGAAGAAAGCCTAAGAATAATCTGGGATATCAAAAGAATTCTGGAACAGGAGTTCTGGTAAGATGGCAGAATAGGCAGAAAGACTGCACAGACCCTCTTCAACAAAGAAAAGAGGAACCAATTAACACAGATACAGAATATAATCCTGGAGTCCTGAATTTTGAAGTGAAGAAAATAGAAGTGGACTAAACTCTAACTAGCAGAATTTGCATGAAAACTCCAAAAAGGAGACATAGGGAGCTGTGGTCTGGCAGCAATCTTGACGGCACAGACAGCTTGGATAATTCTGAGTGGTGTTAGGACATAAGAATTAACCTAAAAATCAGGCCTGCTAGCCAGGGACTGCAACAGAGGACTGCTCTGGTGGCTGGTGAACTTGGGGAAACAGCAAAGAGGAAGGTGGGCTGAGCTGTGGACTTTTGCCTGTCCAGAGGGCTCAGTCATTTTGAATGTTTACAAGTGGTTTGACCATTTAGGATATTTAAAACAACAGCATTCTCCCAGACTCCAGACACATAAAAATAGGCTCCACTTGCCAGGAACCGCAAGGATATTCCAGACGCCAACGATTGGAAACGTGCAATATTTCCCTTGTTACTCTTATATCCCACACATTCTTGGTGAATGTAGGTGTGGCCATCCCTCACTCCCACCCACCTTCTGGGCCGGCAGGAATTCCATTCCAGTCTGTGTGCTCAGATGGAGGCTGGGTGCCCTCCCAGCCTTGCCCTGATTTTGTTTTTTCCTTTTTTTTAGTTTGTTTTTTGTCTTTTTAAAAATTATTATTATTATTACTACTACTACTACTACTTTTGTCTTTCTTATTATTATTCTTTATTCTTCCTTTCCCAGGTTCTGGTTTTCAGCTTTTTCTCTCTTCCCAGATCCTGGTTCCAATTTTTTTCTTTCTTGTGGTTAACCCCATTCTTTATTTTTCTTTTTGTGTTTTTTTCCCATTTTTACTTCATTATTCTCCTACTCTACCTTTTTTCTCTTATTTCCCTCTCCCCAGATATTGTGGGTTTT